GACCTGTGTCGGGAAGTATCTTGTCTCATCATATAACCACGAGGTTTCTCATAACGTCACCTATCAGTCTTATCCGATGGAGAGTTTCAACCTCTTTCCTGAGAATAGTTTTTTTTTCATATCCTTAGTTCCTTACACCAAGCATGATATTAGGTCTTAGAGCATGTTCAATGCAAGAACCCCATAAGACCATCTCCAATGGTAAGCATCTCCAATGGTAAGCACTTCTTACCAATTTTTTTATTTGTTTTTATTTGTTATTTTTCTGTTTAAGAATCTCTATTAGTTTGTTTTCAATTTTGCAGCCTCCAGTGAGAGGTGCTTAAAGTGAGGGGCTTAAAAAAAATAATAATTAAAATATCTGAAGCATTATTATTTTGTAAATAACAATTGTTTCATTGATTTTAATTTCAAACATAATTACATTAAGAGAAAGCATATAAAACACAGAAGTGCAAATCATAAACCGGAACAACATTTAGTTGTAATTTTGACTTATGCCAAATTTGCTCCATATATGCTCAACTAAATCATCTTTCAATTGTTGATGCATTGTTCGATCACGAACTCGATTTAGAATGCCTGAAAAAAAAAACGAATTCATTCATCAGTAGAACAAACAAATCAGAAACAAAAACAGAATCCCTAATCACAGAGAAAATCAATTTGGTTTTTGATAATTGATTCCCCAACTAACCAACACGAGAAACCCTTATTAATCCGAGAAAATCAATTTGGTTTCTGATAATTGATTTTCCAACTAACCAATTCATCTAAGAAATTCAGTCAAATGGAAAAAAAAAATCAGATATTACCGGCCTTTTCTTCTCTCCATCTCCCTCTATCCAGAAATTTTCAGAAGTTTCTCCCCTCAAAGAGACGAACCTATTTGAATTGACATGCATGAACAACTTGCTGGAAACACATATCAATCGGAAATTGAGTCGAAGGAGAAAAAAGTTTGCGAAAAAATAAGTCAAAGGAGAATAGAGAGAGAGAGTTTAATTGAATGGGAAAAAATGAAAATGTTTCAACCAACCAGAAGCTGCCACGACAGAGTTGCTTAGAGTCTTTAAAAGTGCTTAGGGAAGAACCGATGCTTAAGATTTAAACCATTAAATCTTGATTTTTTTCTAATTTTTAGCTAACCAACTCTTAAGCACCCTTCATTGGAGATGTTCTAAGGGATTATAAAATATTCCTTATGGGGTTTTCCTCCAAGGATATTCAGGTTCAATAAATGCCCATTCCACTAGAGTTGTAGGATTCACATGTCTTAAAACGGGGATTTTAGAGAATTGAAAAGATGCAAAAAAACAAGGACTATAAAATTCAAACGGAATGGACTATAAAATTCTTAAAATTTGCGTTTGATATTCAATTTTTATTGTCCCCGTTTGATATTCTAAACAGGACTATAAAAACAGGAATTAACTAAATTGAAAATCCCCGTTTAGGGCTGCTAAAAAACAAGGATTTATTAAACCTGTAATTCACCTTTTATCTCCAATAAATGCCTATAACTACCAGACCGATGGACTTGCCCGTGCAATCTTAACGCCCCCAAAACCCCGTTTTTTTATAATATTCAAGTTTGAAATAAAAATATGGACAATAAAAACTTAAAATTCTGAAACAAATAGATTATATTGGTATAAACTATATTGTTACTCTTTTTTGTTTGTTTTTTTGTTTTTGTGATTTGTTTAACGCATATAAATTATATTATTAAAATACATACATAATATATAAATAAATAATTGTACTATTATTATATAATAAACATTTTACTGGAACGTAATCTATATGTCTAGTTAAAGGCCCATAATTTTACTGGCATAATCAATTAGACATATTAGACATAATTGACGTATAAGACAAGTTATAAATGGACCTCTCTTGTAAATATATATGTAATCATAAAAAAAAATTTCAAGACACCAAAAATTACGATATGCAAATATATGTTCTTGAGCTTTTGTAAAGCATATAAATTATATTATTAAAATACATACATAATATATTAATAAATAATTGTAATATCATTATATAATTAAAAATGCATCTATGACAATGATAACATACCTCAAAATATAGTTGTAATATCATTATACTTTATATTATGCATATATATTTAATTTGTGAATTATGCAAATATATAAACATAGTAGTATAGGATAATTTGTTAAAATATAAGATAAAATAATATAAATGGTTGTTATGATCTAAAATGGCAGAATTGTAATTATTCTAGTGATTAAAGACCACTTTTAATATAACTCTGAGAAGTTCTCTGAGCTTGACACCTCAGCATAGCACAATTGTAAATCACACATGACACAAATGTCTTTTTAATGTGTCCTTGTAAAATAATAATAGAAGATTTTATTGTAAGTAGAGTTTTTTTTTCTTAATAAAATATACTTGACATGAAAAATATTTTAAACATTTTAAACATAGAGTTCTAATATTCATATCATTTTTTAATCAAATAATTAATTATTTTAATTTTTAATATTATATAATATTAACATATAATTTAAATATATGCATAATGGAGTTTGTTAAATAGATAATTTTATTTCATAATTTATGAAGAAACAAATAATAACATATAAATAATTTACTGACTTTATAAATCATATAGGGTTTAAATGATTTTTTCTCTTTCTCTTTATCCAATCAGAAATCGACACGTGTGTAAGAATTCTTGTTAAGAACTGGTTTTTTAAGGTTATTATTTAAGAACCAGTTTTTAGCTATTAGTTATTTTAAATACAAAAATGCTAAGAACCCTTTTTAAAAACTCATAATCAACATGCTCTAAGATCTTTGCCGGCTAAGCCCTAAAATTACTATTATTTTTTTCTTATGAGAAATCAACTTTATGTCCAATCATGTACTAGAGCATTGAAAATTATTGGAGAGGGGATACATATCCTTTCATTTTCTCTTAGAGCATGTTTATGGGAGAACCCATGAAGGTTTTTTAATTAATATTATACTAATAATTGATGTTAATAATCACACTAAGAAACTTAAGGTTTTTTATAGTTTATTGGAGAAACCCCAAAGAGTTCTTAAAAAAAATTGTATATAAAACATTATTGATCATGAAAATTATGACAATTTAACATACAAACATTTTAAAAAACAAATATTTTCCTCATAAGATCAATTATCTTGATCCTGCCCAAATTTTCGCCAAATATGGTAAACCAAATCGTCTTTCAATTGTTCATGTTTGTCTTTATCACGAACTCTTCTTCGAGCATTCATCATATTAGTATTATTTGAAGGCATGTTTGTAGAAAATGAGAGATCGACCTGTGAACTTCCGTTTCCTTCTCCTTCTTGAAATCCTGAAACATCTACTAAAGTGTACCCATCTCGTTCGTCTTCTACTATCATGTTGTGGAGGATGATACATGCTCTCATAATCTTTCCTATTTATTCTTTATCCCAATAAAGAGCCAGGTTTTTAACAATGGCAAATCGAGATTGCAAGACTCCAAAAGCAAGTTCAACATCTTTTTGGATAGATTCTTGATGTGTAGCAAAACGTTTTGCTTTTGAACCCTAGGGAAGTTTAATAGATTGGACAAACGTAGCCTATTTGGGATAAATACCATCTGTGAGATAGTAAGCCAAATGATACTCGTTTCTGTTGACAGAAAAATTCACTTCCAGAGCTTGACCATTTATTATATCATCAAAACCAGGTAACCGATCAAGAACATTTATATCGTTTAAGGTACCTCGAGGTCCAAAAAACGCATACCATATCCAGAGATCATAGGAGGCTACCGCCTCTAAAACGAGTGTGGGCTTTCCAGAACCACGAGCACAACCCGGAGTTGAAAATATGGTTTAACCATGAGCATCAACCTTGTGTTGAAAATAAGGAATTTTGTTGGAAAGCCGATCGACGATGTGCAAGAACAATGGTTTATTCATTCTAAAACACCATCGGAATATATTGGCTGGGTATACTGCATCTTCAACGAAATAATCGTTCCATAAACGATTGTGGCCTTCTTCACGGTTTCTTTCGATAACCGTTCTTTTTTTTTCGTGACTTCCATGGCTCTTCATGATCACCATAAGCAAGTAAGAGATTTTCAAATGATTGATCAAAATGTTGATAAAAATATTGATCAAAATATTGATCAAAATGTTGATCAAAATTATCAGGGTTTGAAGAAGAAACCATTTTAGTAAAGAAGATTATATGGCAATCAGTGTGGTGTTTATGAGAAAAAGAGAAGATGGCGTATGGTGTAAAGAGGTGGGAATTTGAGGAAAATGGTTTTGATAAAAAGACAAGATGAACAAAAAATATTGATCGCTTTTGCAAATACAAAGAGAAGGTTTTGGCAAATAGAAAGAGAAGTCTCTATTTTGGTTGTGAATTTCATGAACATCGATTGGCAATATATATAGTCTAAAGACATTGTATACATGTGGACATGGTTTAATATTGGAATAACTACAAATACAACACAACCAATGAGAAAAAAAATGGCGATATTGAATAATTTTTAAACAGTCATTATTCCATGCCATATTCTACACTTGTATCCTTGTGTCACGAGGAGCTTCTTCTTATATTATACACTTGTATCTTTGTGTCACGAGGAGCTTCTTCTTATATTCTACACTTGTATCTTTGTGTCACTAGTCTGCAAAAAAAAACAATGTTCATTAATATAAAGAAACAAACATGATCGTCTTCTTTGAAACCCAAAACTTTTAAAAACAAAAACCGAAGCTTATACAAACACAATACACTCTCTTAGAAAACAAAGTTATCACTTTTCATTTACGGCAAACAAAGTTACAACTTCAACACAGAAAACACAACATCACAGTCACTTAAGCTATTAGAAGCAAAACAACACCAACACTTAAAGATAAACACATAACAAATACTACATAACAACACCAACACTTACAGAATATTTACTTCAACGGTCTCTTAGAACACAAAGTTGAAAGCACTAAATATCCATCAGCTCATTGATGAGCTTTCTCTTTAGAGCTTCTTCATACTCAGCTAAAGGTTCTTCTTTTGCAAGCAATCTGTCTAGCACACTCATCTTAAACACTCTTTCCTTCGTAGCGTTATCCTTCTCCCTGATGCTCCACATGCTTTGAAACTCTTCTGCAGCTTTGACCTCCACCGTTTGTCTCTTAGCGATGCCTTTAGATGCCTTAATACTAGGTGGCCTTTTGGTTCCTTGAGCCTCTCCACCAGTCATTGACTCCTCAGCTTGAGAGGTTGCGGTTTGTAGACCAACATCACATCTTCTCTTTTTTGTGCTTCCACCCGTTTTTGAAGAAGAGAGCTCACACCACTTTTGATCATTTTTAAGCTCCTTCCAAGCATGCTCCAGTGTAAATTTTTTGTTGTAGTCGTTGTAGAACAACTCATGGGCCAGCTTCAAGACATCATTTTCATTCTGTCCACTGGTCCTCTCTCTTGATGCAGCTTCGTAGGAGCCACATAATTTGTTGACAAGATCATTGATCTTTTCCCAACGTTGCTTGCAATGATCTGGCTCCCTCATTTCTCGACCTGCAGCCTTTGGATAACCTGCAAAGTAAGCAGCAACACGGGACCAGAAGGCACCATTCTTTGCTCATTCGCCACTACAGGGTCCTTTGATGTGTTCAACCAGGAGCTGATGAGCAACACATCATCAGCCGGCGTCCATATTCTTCTTGTGCTTCTCTCTGTAGGCTGAGCTTCACCATGGCTGGATGCCTCAGTAGATTGTGTACTAAAGAGAGGATCTGGGTCGAATGTGTGAAAGGGTTCATGTTGGGAAGTCTTTTGTTGACTGTTCAACAGATTAACAAAGTTTGAGGGCTGGGAGTATGGATTCTTAGAGGAGAAATCCATAAAAGGAAAAGGTTAGAGAAAAAAAAGGAGAATGATGTTTACGGTTTGCAGGTGAGAAAGAGAAGAAGTTGTGTTTGAACAGATTAAAGAAAGAGAGAAAGGGACCGATTATTAATAGAAGAGAACAAGGAAAGAAGAAAAAGATTTCAGAACTCATCAATGCATTCATAACACCTAAAGCAAAAGTTTTAACCATATCGACTTGACTACTATCTACTAAAACAATGCATTCATCACAACTAAAGCCTTCATTTTAACTAAACTATGTTTCAAAACACCAACTATTCTTCACAACTAAACCATAAACAACTAGCTTGATTCATAATACCTATTTAGCATTTACTACGGCAGTTGGTAAACTTACCTGTAAAGCTCCCAAAGCTCCCAAAGCCATGCCTTTGTCAATACACACTGACAACAATAACAAACACAATGAATTAGACAAGTTAACAAAGAAATACTCATCCGCAACAAACCAAAAAAACCAATCGATATGGTTGACGTGCATCAAAATATTTCTTCCCAAATGCAGAATGATAAAATAAAATTAGGTTGTTAAGTCGTCGTCGAATTTTTATATTTTGTTGTCATCGGAGAAAACAAGTAAAATCAGTCAAAAATCAACAATCTCGGCGGCTGTCCCATTTCGAAGAAAAATTGGTACTTCTAACACTAACTTACATATGCTTTCTACCTGTATTTTAACTCTCTCTCTCTTTTTAAAAAGAAACCATAAAATGTTTTTTCTCAACTTGGTTTATTCAAAAATTGAAACCTAACAAAAGTATTTCTCGATCGAGACGAACTTTCGACTATAATTGCAGAGTGGATAGTGGTGAACCATTTGCCATCGTGATATTATTAAACTTTGTATGCTATTGTTTTATATGTCCACCAATCTAATGCTTGAAATCACTTACCTACAATGGTGGATCTAAAAAAAAATTTAGTTAGGAGCATAGGTTTATAAACAAGAAAAATAAATTTAGTTGGGAACAACTTATTCTATTAGTCGTTGAGAGATGAAGAAGACGATGAAAGAAGAAAAGGGAAGTTTGTTGGAAGATATTTTCTATTAATCTGGGAAATGAGATTATACAAGCTTATATACAAATGCTCTGTATCCTAAACCAAACTAAACCAACTATGCAATTAAATTATCATTAAACCAGCAAAAGGAAACCGATTTAATCTGTATAATAACCAATAGTCCCCCTCAAGATGTGCCATAAATGTTGTGAAGGCTCATCTTGGACTTATGATGTTCAAAAGGTTGAGGGAACAACGGTTTGGTTAGGATATCAGCAACTTGATCCTCTGTGTTGACGTGCAGAGTCTTTAGTTGGCCTCGATCCAGTCTTTCACGCACATCATGACAGTCATTCTCGATGTGTTTAGTGCGTTTGTGGAAGACTGGGTTCATCGCAATATTGATCGCTGCAGTACTGTCAGAAAAAAACACAGGAGTTGGTGAATCAACTCGTAAATCCACTAAGAGCTTTTGTAACCATGTTATCTCACGGGATGCAAGGGACAATACACGATATTCTGCTTCTGCCGTTGAGTGAGAGACAGTGTCTTGTTTCTTGGATTTCCAGGAAATGATAGATGATCCAAGAAACATACAAAAACCTGTAGTAGACCGTCTACTATCCTGACATGAAGACCAATCTGAATCTGCAAACCCTTTCAATGTTAAATCAGAGTCTGAAGAGTAGAATAGACCTTGTCCAACTGTGCCTTTAAGATACTGCAATATCCTATAAACAGCTTTAAGATGAGTTGTTCTCGGATCTGCAGAATATTGGCAAAGTTTGTTAACTGCGAAGGTAATGTCTGGCCTTGTGTATGTCAGATACATTAGTCTACCAACGAGGCTACGATACATGTCTTTGTTGGGAATCGGTTCGCCATCATGCTTTGAAATCTTCAAGTTGGGAATCATTGGTGTAGGAGCTGGTTTACAACCCAACATTCCAGTAGATGTTAGAAGTTCCAAAGTATATTTGCGTTGGCATAAAGATATCCCAGAAGCATTACGAGCCACCTCCAATCCCAAGAAATATTTCAAAGGACCAAGAACTCGTAATCGGAAATGTTGTTGCAGATCAGCGGTTAAAACTGCAGCTGCAGCATCACTTGTGCTTGCGATGACAATGTCATCAACATAGACCAAGACTGCAATGAAGTCACCATTACCACAACTCTTCACAAACAATGTATGATCTCCCGTACCTTTCTCAAAGTTCAGTTTCAACAAAACCTCTCTGAACTTCAAAAACCACTGCCTTGACGCCTGTTTAAATCCATAAATGGATTTCTTGAGTCGCAAAACAGCTTTCTTTGGTAGCGAGTCCCCCTTTCTCTCTGCATAACCATCAGGTAATCTCATATAGATTTCCTCATCAAGATCACCATTAAGAAATGCATTTGAGATATCCAGTTGGTGGAGAGACCAAGACTTAGATGCAGCAACTTTTAATAACAGTTTCACCGTTGCAAGTTTAGCCACTGGTGAGAATGTGTCATTAAAATCAAGTCCTTCCTTTTGAGTGTAGCCTTTGGCTACAAGGCGAGCTTTATATCGCTCTAGACTTCCATCAGCATGGAATTTCAAGGTAAAAATCCACCGACAACCTACAGCTTTCTTGCCTGGAGGTAATGTGGTGACATCCCATGTTTGAGAAATTTCCATAGCTCCAAGTTCTTTATCAACTGCATCACACCATTCTTTGGACCCTTTTGCCTCAGCATAGGTATTTGGAATGGGGATTTTGGTAATATTGTTGATAAAAGAGTTATAAGAAGGAGAGAGTTTGGAATAACTCAAAACTGAGGAGATGGGATGAGATATATCAGTGTTTAATGAATAACAATGATAATCGTTGAGGTGTGCAGGAGTTTTGGTTTGTCTGCGAGGTAGAGAATATGGATTTGGTGATAGGGAAGGAATAGTATTTTGTGATTTAGTATGAATTGGTGGTGAAGCTGAAGACAAAAGGTCCAAAGATGTAAAGAAATCAGAATGTACCTTCGGTTCAGCTTCTGTTGCAAAAGGAAAGATCTCCTCATGGAAGATTACATTCCTCGAAATGAACACATTATGAGACTCCAAATCCAGTAACTTGTATCCGTTATAACCCGGAGGATAACCAATAAAGATACAAGCCTTAGATCTTGCTTCAAACTTATGCATGTGCTTCAGAGATGTGGAAACATAACAAAGACATCCAAAAGTCTTGATTTGAGTATAGTCTGGAGCTTTTCCCATTAGCAATTCGTGAGGGGTCTTATTGTGTAGTAGCAGAGATGGTGTTCTGTTGATGAGAAACACTGCCGTGAGAATACACTCTCCCCAATATGCTAAAGGAATTTGAGACTGAAACATCAAGGCTCTGGCAACATTCAGAATATGCTGATGTTTGCGTTCCACAACCGAGTTCTATTCAGGAGTTTCTGGACAAGAATGAAAAGCCATAATCCCTTTTGATTGATACAACTGTGTGAACCGTAATTCTGGTGCATTATCTGCTCTTACTGCTTTCACTGTCGTTTTGTATTGATTCTCAACGAGTTGAAGAAATGCAAGAAAAACAGTTAAGACGTCACTATTTTGTTTAAGCAGATAAACCCATGTTGCTCTGGTGTGGTCATCAACAATCGTTAAAAAATGTCTATAACCATCCACCGTTTCAGTTGAAAAGGGTCCCCAAATGTCGATATGTATCAAATCAAAGGGATTATTACAGATATTGTTCTGAGAGGGAAAAGAAAGTTTCTTCTGTTTAGCCAAATGACACACATGACAATGTGCAGGCTTCTTATTCTTGTGTTTCGCAATTCCTAGAGTCTCAGAAAGAATATCCAGACAAGCAAGAGAAGGATGTCCAAGTCTGTTGTGCCATACTCCAATGTCAGCTACAGCATTCACTTGAAATCTTTGCACATCCAGAACATATAAGTTGGCAATCCTTTTACCCGTTCCAATCATCAACTCTCTGGTACTGTCCTGAATTTTACAAGAAGATTCATCAAATATAACTCGCGAGTGCAGATCAGTGGTTAACGAACTGATACTGATGAGATTTAGGCGGAACTCAGGTATAAACAAGATATTCTTGAGAATTATGTCTTGATTAATCTGAACAACTCCAATACCACTGATCTTCACAATCGATCCAGTAGGAAGTTTCACAGCACTATTAATTGAAGTATCCAATGATGTGAACATGGACCGGTCGTGAGACACATGATGAGTGGCTCCGGAGTCAATAATCCATGTATGTCTAGACAATGATGTCTTAGACACAGTTAAAATACCAACAAAATTGAAGGTAGAGTTTGAGAAATCAATACCAGAGGCAGATGATGTTGAAGCCACATTGTTAGAAGTAGTCACTTCATGAGATTGATTCAAAGACTGATTTTGAAGCTGAGAGCTAAAATAGGCAATGAAGCTTTGAATCTGATCTTTGGTAAGATTCTCAACAAGGCCACTCATATCAGACGCATTACCAGAAGGCTTTTGATCAGAAGATGTAGTTAAGGAAACTTGAGCAGTAACAGGAGGAGTTTTCTGAGACTTCTCATTTGATTTGTTTCCTTTTGGAGTGAAACCAGGTGGAAAACTGTGTTTCTTGTAGCACCGATCAGCAATATGACCAACTCTATTACAGAATGAGCAAATTGGCCTCCCTTTGTTCGGTCCAGATTGAACATAACAAATAGCTGCAGAATACATGTTTGAAGTGTTCTCTACAGTTACTTGAAATGCAACCGGAGGAGGAAGTTGATTGGAGAAACCTTTCTGGCTATCGTCTTGATCCAGGATGTTATAGACTTCAGGAAGACTTGGTAGAGCTTTCTTTGGAATGATCTGACGGCGAATCAAAGCATATGAGTCATTGAGCCCCGCTAAGAACTTCACAATTTTAGATCTCTCTGCCTTCAATTGCAGACGAGCAGCTTTTCCACACGTACACGGATCATCTGGTTCATCTGTGTTCTCCAATTGATCCCATAGTGTTCATAATTGAGTGTAGTAATCAGATAGAGACATAGAACCTTGACGCAGATCATGTATTTCTTGTGTGAGATTGAAAGTTCGTGGTAGATTAGTAAGATGAAATCGACTCTGTAGATCTTTCCAGATATCAGTAGCATCATTCATACGCAACACACTACGATAAATCTGGGAAGAAACTGAGTTGAGAAGCCAAGATTTGACCATACTATTGCATCTAGACCACAAATGAAATTGAGTATCTGATTCCAGAGGACGAGGGATAGATCCATCGATGAAACCAGTTTTGTTCTTAGCATCTAAGGCTACAAGCATTGCAGCATTCCAGTCATCATAATTCGTACCATCAAGACGAAGAGAGATGATGTTTAAACCTGGATGATCGCCGCTATGAAGATAATATGGCGATTGTGTCGGATCAGAAAACATCGGTAATGCAACAGTTCGCGAATCACCAGCAGGATCTGTTATCGGAGGAGAATCTGTTACATCGACGACGGATCTAGAAGATCGACGAGCTGGAGTCGTATCATTCCGAGTCGAAGTGCGAGCTCGAGTTGAACGACGAGGGAGATTTTTCAGAGACACCATTTTCAAATGAAATTGAGTTCGCGGAAACCAAATTTATGATGAAAATGGCAAAAACGAAGAGAAACGAGCTGGAATTAGAGCTTCAATGGCTCTGATACCATATTAGTCGTTGAGAGATGAAAGAAGAAAAGGGAAGTTTGTTGGAAGATATTTTCCATTAATCTGGGAAATGAGATTATACAAGCTTATATACAAATGCTCTGTATCCTAAACCAAACTAAACCAACAATACAATTAAATTATCATTAAACCAGCAAAAGGAAACCGATTTAATCTGTATAATAACCAATATATTCTTTTTTTACCACTAAATTAAAAAATTTTGATTAAATTTACTTAAATTATTTTTAAAAAAATATAAACAGGAGGCATTTAACCCCATTGAGTTCTCACTACTTCTGCCTCTGCTTACCTATATCAGAGGTCGATAACTCGATAATTCAACTGAAAAAATATCTTGAAATAATTTAAGAGATTACAAGATCGAATAACAGTTGAAACGGATAATAATATTAAAAGCTGACTCGAGCTTAGGCAATGTACATCGGTTAACAACCTCTTACCTATCAAAAAAAAGAATTCACTTACCCATGATATATTTAGAGATCACCAATTTATAAATATCAATTCCTTTCTCCTGTCATGTTTTGAATTTAGTTCCATCGACCGTGTGCGACGTCACTTCTGCATTGATAAATCAAATCGAACCCCAATGAAATCGAATCGAATCCAGAAATAATTTTTAAAATATTCAAATGGGTTTTAAATCCTAAATCCGAATAATCCGAACTGAGTCCGATCTTATTCTAACGCCCAGGACTAAAGCACTCTGGCGTGACAATAATAATATCCTATACATCAGAATCTGGTTTTATGGCAAATTACTACTAGTCTACTACTAATATGTAGTTTGTAAAATATAGATGGGGTGAAAAAACAAATTCACATGATTAAGCCCAGGCCCAGCAACAAAAATAAATCATTAGGATTTTAGTTTCACACTTCCTTCGTCTTCCTCATTTTCTGGATTCAGGTTTCTAACTCAGACAATCAGTAGGAGAAATTACTATACATTACAAATGCTTTCTCAGTTCTTCGACCTTTTCTGATTTTGTCTTCTGATTCCGGTTCGGGAGCTCAAATCGAACCTCCACTAAAATTCACAGGTTTTTTTTTCCTAGGGTATAGTCCCGTTCTGAAGCTTTCAACATTCCAGCTTTTTCTAGGGTTTTGTTTTGTGTGGAAATGCTTTTCAGTTGTTGCTAGTTGTTTAGAATTTGTTTCTTACGGTGATTTCTATTTCCCATTTCCTTTTCTTTTTCTACATTAAGTATACAGTGTCAGCATATGCTTTCTCAGTTATCCGAGTGTTTCCGATTTTGTCTTCTAGGTTTTTTTCCTGTTTTAAGCTTTCAAAATCCCAGCTTTTTTCTAGGGTTTAATCTCGTTTCTCTGTGTGTCTATTTTTTCAATTGTTACTAATTCGTTCTTGTTTTTTTTTTCATGGTCAGATTGTAAAAGGTATGGACAGAATCAGTGGACTATCCGATGAATTACTAGCTAAGATATTATCCTTTGTTCCGACAAAAGTTGCTGTTTCAACTAGCATTTTGTCTAAGAGATGGGAGTTTCTTTGGATGTGGGCGTCTAAATTCGAGTTGGAGAAGAATCTTTTTGGATCAGAAATTGCAATTAAAGATTTTATTAACAAGAATCTGCCATTGCTTAAAGCTCCGGTCATAGAAAGCTTTTGCATCGAATGTTATTCTTCATTTCAACCAGAGGATATTAATCGGTGGGTTGCAATCACGGTTTCTCGCTTCATTCGTGAGCTTGATCTCGACTGTAAATGGTTTAGTTTCTCGGAACCTGCTATTTTATTGCCGAGCAGCTTGTATACCTGCGAATCGCTAGTGACTCTGAAACTTAACGGCAAGAAGATTATTGTGGATGTTCCTCGCACGGTTTCCTTCCCTTCATTGAAAAACTTGCTGCTTGGATCTGTGACTTATCGGGATAAAGATTGTCTCCGGCTGCTTTTATCTTATTGTCCTGTTCTTGAAGATCTTGTTATTCACCGAGAAAGTTCTTTTGACAATGCACAACCGATCGTTGTTATTAGTCCGTCCTTGTTGAGGCTAACCTTACCGATTGAAGATGATGGAATTAATTGTCCTGGTGAGTATGTGTTAGTTACTCCTTCTTTGAAGTATTTCAAAGTTGAAGATCATAATGGACGGTTCAACTATTTGATCGCGCATATGCCTGAGGTGGAAGAGGCGGATATCAATGTTGATGAATATCTGGAGCGTATCTTCGAATCAATCACATCTGTCAAACGACTTTCGTTATGTGTAATGTACAACATTCAAGACGGGGTAAGTAAATCTGTTTTCATCTATCACCTTTGAAAGTTCGATGTCGTTTTTTATATCACTTAGAACACTAAATTGGTTTATCTTGATAATGAAGTCTTTTGTTATTACATTGTATTTTGTGGTGCAGTATTTGTATCGTGATGGTATTTTCTTCAGTCAGCTTGATCATCTGAAGCTATGTATCTCCTTTGATTATTGGTCGAAGTTACTTTTCCGGTTGCTCCAAGATTCTCCTAAACTGCGAGTGCTCAGTCTTACCGTCGATGTAAGTTTCTCCCTTGACTGTTTTTCTATCTATAATCACTCTCTATGGTGTAGTCTTATTAACAATCTCTCTTTTTAAAATCTAAAAAAAAAAACGCAGATTGAAGGACGTTTTAAGAAGTATGAACCGATTAATTGGAACAATGACCAGATCTCTGTTCCTAGCTGTTTGTTGGAGAGCCTTGAAACTTTCGAATTTGATGGGTATATGGGAAAACAAGAAGAGAGAGATTTCGTGAGTTTTATCATCAAAAATGCTTGTCACTTGAAGTCCTCATCAATCACGCCTTGTACCATTGCAGAAGATTATTCCTCAACGAATAGTTCAGATGATTAAGGAGATGTTTGTATTCGATTATGGATTTTTAGGCTTTGTTTTGTTATGTCCAAGAACAATTAGGTACTTTAGTCAGATGTGTAAACTGTACTATCTTTTCATGTGTTGATTCTAATATTGTCTGGTTAATTTGTTGCCTATCTTTTACATATTCCATGTTTCTAACCACAATTAAGAACAGATAAATGATATCAAGTCTATACTCAATTCACTGGAATTTGATGCAAAATCTTCGTTTAAATTATAAAGTACACTAGAGAACAAAACTTCTAAAATAGTTAGTTATAAATACCAAAATACAAGCACTTAAGCACCAAATTTGGCAAAAGAAAGTATAAAAAATCTGGGAAGAAGAAGAGATTAACGGGTTTTATGAGGTTTTGAAATCTTCTTCTTTCTCTTCTTGATAGATTTGGGTGTTTTGTTCTTCCTAGACTCTCTCTTCTCTTCTTTCACTTTCTTCTTGTGCTCTTTCCTTGCAGCTTTCTTGTCTTCAGGACCCGATTCTTCTTCACTTTCACTATCATCGTCTTCTTCTTTTTCACTTTCTTCTCCTTCTTCTACCTCTTTTTCCTCTTCTACATCCACCTTTAGTTGCTGCTCATCTACTTTAGGAAGAGCTTCCTTAAGACCCGTTATTGTTTTGTACAGCATGTCTCCTGTGTCCTGCCCGCTCGTTATCTTCTCTACATCAGCCTCCGGGTTATTCACAGCATCCAAAGATTTTGGTATATAAGACTGATCATCACAAAAAAAAACAATTAGATTTAAGATGATTATATAGCTTCACAAATCACTTGTAAGGACTGGGTACTTCACTAACCTTCATGAATACTGAATCCGCCATTTCATCCTCTACGGATATCTCTCCTCGCTCTATCACTTTGCGTTGGACCTGCCCCAGACAATACATACTTCATCAATTTGACTATGCTAATACATAAACATTACAACTTTAAACGTGAAGCAACGAATACCAAATAAAAAGGTATTTACACACCTCTTCCAAGTAGCTATCAACACTTTCGTCTGAAATTGTCGGGTCAACAATGAAGTCAAATAGCTCCCTTATGGTCATTACAGCAACACCATGTTTTTTGAAAAAATCCTGCGCGTGAAAGTAGAAATAATCCATATATGAGAAACACTTTCCAGGCAAATTAAGCATTGTTAGAACAATCTATAGTATTAGCACTTACTGAGACGTGGTCACAATCTTCCCGTAGAAAATTGAGGGCAAGAGGATGGTCCAGATCCACAGATTGTGAAACATCAATTATATAAAGGTGCCCCTGAAAAGAGTCAAGATAATATCAAATATATATGGCTTCTCTGTTTGTTTTAAACTTATTTTTGTTTCCTTTTGCTATCAGGAAAAGGAGCCATCAAAACTCACCTCAAAATAAAGTATGTTATACTCACTGAGATCTCCATGCACCAATTTGCACTTTTGATACAGTACTCGCATTTGAATTATCAACTGAGAATCAAATGAAAAGATGTCAGTGAATTTCCGATATGATAGACCATACATAGATTAATCGTGGCTGTAATGCCACCTGATATGTTTCAAAGACGATAAGTATAAGTAATGTTTAGCAATAAGACACTCAGGAACTTCTAAATGAGAAGATAAGCCATTCACATACCTCTAGATAAGACTCACGTAACTTGTCAAGTGATAATGCAGCATCCTTGAGACGCGGTGCAGCCCAACCATCCCTTCCTACAAATATATGTATAAATAAAACAATCTTAGTCAGTTTGATACATCATTACTTCATCATTTCTCTAGTTCAATGAAATATGATGATGAATTATAGTGAACAGAGACGAGCAGCCTGGAATCAGTGACCAAAACAACATATAATGCATTAGTGCGAACCTATAAACTCCATGACTAGAACATGAAGTCGAAGAAGGATAGGAACTGGACACCTAATTCCTGCTGCCTGAAGTCTGCCAATAAAACATGTATATAAATAAATAACGAAGTTTAGAAAAGTAAGTACATCTCCTGCTTCTGATTAGAAAAGAAGATATGTCAACCTAAATTAACGATGTAGAAGGAGTATAGCAGAGAGGACAACCAAGATTGCTTATTCTAATTTCACTTAAGTACTAACATCGAGCATACACCAACAACGAAATGTAGGTTTTACCTCTTAAGATTTCTGTGTTCCTTTTCAGCCCATGTCTTCACCATCTTCCGGGGATTGTGGCGACAGTAGCCATGTCTAAAACGGTAATCTCCTTGTACATATCGATCTCGGTCCCTGAAATCATCAAAGTTGAAAATGGATTTCCAATAACAAAATAATCAAGTAAAAAAGAAAAAAATCAGCGAAGAGATCATGAATTCCTTTAGTAGCTCACTTGAAAACCAGAACGGATGTCTTGTACACTTTTATTGCAAGTTCCGCACCGTCAGATTTTGTGGCATGATAAACATTAGCCTGAAAAAAGGTAATAAATGAGAGCACTGTTAACAAAGGAATTCAAACACATGACTATCCAGTAAACATTCAGATATGAGAGTAATGAATGTGACCTACTTCTTTGCCTGTCGAAATACAGCCATTAACATCATTGAACACACCACGATTAAGCATTCTAAACAAAACCATACGGGTCCTCGGATCAAGAACCTGGAACAAAAGAACAAACAACATCAGCACATTGCCAGAAAACATTTGACAAAACATCAAATATTTTTAACGGTTAAGCTTCTTCACCTGTTCAACTGATGCTCGATCTGCTTTATCAGTATTTCTGCTTCTGCCAATTTCTGATTCCCTAAGACTTCCACGAATCGCAGTTGTCACAGAATTTGACATTCCAACTTGTACTCTTCCTTCCCATCCCTGCGTCCCCAAATCAACTCATATCAGTTTCCATAAACACCATAAACTCAATGTGAATTTGAGCAGAGTCTATGAGCAATCCAGAAGATTATTCAAATTTTAATCTTTGACAAAGCACAACTCGTAACAACGAAATCAAAGACTCTGAAGCTGAATTGAAAAGAAATTCGATAATTATGCAACAGAAAATGGAAGAACTATGAGGTCCAAAGGAGAAGAAACGTCACCTCCAAAGGAGAAGCACGGACATGACTAGAAAGCTTCTGAGCTTTGTTTGAAAGAGGCTGAAGAGCGCCTGAGTTAGGACGAGCTCCATGTCCACCGTTAGCATTAGGGCGACGCGCATGAAGAGAGAACCCACCACCAATGAGCTCATCATCGTCTTTACCGTCGAGCCAATCAAGAGCTTCACCGATATCGGAATCTGAAGAAAGAGAGAGATCGTCCTCGTCATCGTCTTCAATCTCTTCCTCATATTCCACAGCCACCGGGGGAATAATCGGCGGCGGCTCTGCTACAACTTCGGCCATCGTTTTCTTGGGAGGATTAACTAAGCGGCGAACGAATGGAAGAAAGATAATCAGTTGAAGCCCTGTTTTTTTTTTTCAGTGTCAATGCTGGGGAAGTTGACACGTGTCCCCTTAGAATATTAATTTTAAAAAATTTCACACCTGTGGTAAAAAATCGAGGGTCCAAACGATTAATCAGACCCAATAACAGGCCCAACTGGAGTGGAACGTAAGCAGAATTCGTTTCCCCTTCTCAATTATCCAAGTTTGTCGATGTGGGATGATGACTCTTATTTATTGTGATGCAGCTTCCCCTTCTCAATTATCCAAGTTTGTCGATGTGGGACAAACCAAAAAACAAACTTTTAAAAAACTTGTCATTGGTATTTATGGGTTTCAATTAAATTTGGGTCCTCAACACATCCACATATCTTCTAGATCCATCATTATGTACATATATATACAAATTTTAGTTCATATATATATCTAATATAACAAAATTAATCTTAAAAATAAATAAATTAAAAAAGAATTAAATTTATTAAAATATTATATGTAAAAATTAATTAACTCTCTCCAGCTGAGTGACACGTTAACAGTTGAGAGAGTGACACGTATCACATCTAAAAATTGACAAAATAAATAATGAATCAAATTTAAAACAAAACACATTAAATAACATAAATAAATATTAATATATATACATTAGAATGAAATTCAAATTTAATTTCAATATATAAAAACTTATAAATATTATATAATACAAGATTTTTTAAATGTACCATTCTATTTCTTTTTTCAGACGATTTAAACTTTATTTTCAAACTAAAAATATAATTAATTTTAATGCAAGTGAAAGAAATTATGAAACTGAATAAATTAAAAAGTTTCAAATAATCATATATAAAACTCCAACTAATAAAATTATAAAACACAAAAAATAATTATTAAATTATTAAAGAGATAAAGGTTATTAAAAAAATAATAGTATAAAGGGTGTCCACATAAAATTGTCATACATAGTATTTTTTCTAAAAAAAAAAAAAGAAGTTGAAATAAATAAATTATATATAACTAAAAAAATTCAAAATGGTAAATTGAAAAAGTTAAAAAGTATTATATTAGTAAAATTTACAATAGTTAAAAGAATATAAAGATCGAAGAACAGATCAATATTTCTCTCTGATATTGAACGTATATTTTTAAGTGAATTATTATGTTTTCATACAAAAATTAAAATAGTAGATTTTTTATTCTTTATTATCTTGAGAAAAAAATTAGACTATTTGACACTACCGGTATAGAAGATATTATAAATAATGTATCAGCAAGAAGAAATCAAAGAAAATATAAATATCTTAAACACAAAAACATTGATATTAAACATAAAATTCTATACAAAATTTAAAAATATACTATTTAATACTATTTAAATACAAATTAAAATAAGATCCGCGCATATTCACGGGTTCTCTCCTAATGTTTTTAAACTAAATAGGTGTATTGGTTTTGGTTCGGTTCATATTTTTCTGGTTTAAAAAATATTTTTTTCAATTTGATCCTATTCGTTTTGAAGAATTCAATTTAATCTGGTTCAAATTATTTCAGACTTAAATAAAAAAAAATTATTGTGTTTTTCACCAAAGATTAATAAATTTGTTAAGGTACCCATGAATTCACAATGACATGCACAAACATGATAATTGGATTGTCAAATTATGGTTTCCGCTTAAACAAAGCTTGATTCACTCAACAC